AAAAAAAAAAACGGTAACCTGGTTGCCGAGTTCACGAAGTGAATTGGCTTGTTTTACAACGTCGTTGCCAAGCGACGAAAACCCAATCCCGATGGCAAACACCGGGGGGGGCAGCTTGTTTTACAACGTCGTTGCCAAGCGACGAAAACCCAACCCCGATGGCAAACACCGAGGGGGGGGCGGGCGGCTTGTTTTACAACGTCATTGCCAAGCGACGAAAACCCAACCCCGATGGCAAAACACCGGGAGGGGCGGATTTGTGAGGGGGGGAGGCGCAAATGGAATTTGGGATTCCTAGTTGCCGCCCTAAAATAGAAAATAGATGTACGTTAGAGGGAGCGGGGGTTGTGGCCGAGGGTGTCTCTCGTAGCTACATTTTTTTTTTCTTGTATTCTAGAGGTAGACGCGCTACCTCCTTCCTGTCACTTGAGCTGGGCGTCTTGCGCATGTTGGTGTGACCAATCACCCCACTTGTCCCCTCCTCTGCACACGTCCAGGTTGGTATTCTCCTTTGTCAGCAAGTTGACCGCATGTTTCCCTCGCCGTCGCCGTTGACGACGGTCCGCGGTAAGGGCAAGGGCAGTGGCAGGAGGCGCCGCGGCATCGGTGGCGCAGGGCTCAACGGCGGGATGATGAGGGGGTGAGCCGAGCGCTAGCGGTCTTCTATGCGGGGAGGGGGAGGGGGCTCAAGCGTTGGGTCCGTGGAGTTGTCATGACGCTCTACCCGTGGGCATCGTTCGTAAGATTGTGGGATTTGTCTCCATAATATTTCACTGTCCCCCTTGACCTTCCGCGTTTCTGCAAGGGACGCGGGTAGAGGCAGGCGAACATTGCCAAGACAAGCAGCAAACTTGTCGGCAGGTGGGATAGCAGTAACTTGCAGGCAGGTCAGGTCCCTTTTTCTGACGGTCTGTTGTGTAAGGATCGATCGAGGCAAGACGTTCTACTACCTCTTCGTGCTCTTTCTCGCGGAGCGTCTTGTGGAGCCCACAACAGCGTGCGGACTGCCCGCAAACAAATGAATCTTCCCGCGGTACCTCCCCACCCCCCCCCCCCCCCCCCCCCCCCCCCCCCCCCCCCCCCCCCCCCCCCCCCCCCCCCCCCCCCCCCCCCCCCCCCCCCCCCCCCCCCCCCCCCCCCCCCCCCCCCCCCCCCCCCCCCCCCCCCCCCCCCCCCCCCCCCCCCCCCCCCCCCCCCCCCCCCCCCCCCCCCCCCCCCCCCCCCCCCCCCCCCCCCCCCCCCCCCCCCCCCCCCCCCCCCCCCCCCCCCCCCCCCCCCCCCCCCCCCCCCCCCCCCCCCCCCCCCCCCCCCCCCCCCCCCCCCCCCCCCCCCCCCCCCCCCCCCCCCCCCCCCCCCCCCCCCCCCCCCCCCCCCCCCCCCCCCCCCCCCCCCCCCCCCCCCCCCCCCCCCCCCCCCCCCCCCCCCCCCCCCCCCCCCCCCCCCCCCCCCCCCCCCCCCCCCCCCCCCCCCCCCCCCCCCCCCCCCCCCCCCCCCCCCCCCCCCCCCCCCCCCCCCCCCCCCCCCCCCCCCCCCCCCCCCCCCCCCCCCCCCCCCCCCCCCCCCCCCCCCCCCCCCCCCCCCCCCCCCCCCCCCCCCCCCCCCCCCCCCCCCCCCCCCCCCCCCCCCCCCCCCCCCCCCCCCCCCCCTTCGTGGTCCTTCCTCTTGTCGACCTTCCTCTTTTGTTGACCAAAGGTTCGTTGCAGACATCAAGGTTGGTCTACCCGTTCCCGACGGCTTCTGGGAGTGCGTCCTTCCGGAAGGATCGCCGTCCGACAGTCGGAGGATGCTTTGGCACGACTTGCGCCCCGAGCGCCGCTCGCGCGCGGTGCGCGTCTTCGGCGTGTGCGCTGGGAGCAGGAAAGCGCGGCAGAGCTTCGTGTGGGAGGTGCGGAGCCGTGTGCGGAGCCGTGCCACTGACTACTTTTTACGGTAGTGCTTTGCAACGGAAAGTACAGTAGTCCACTTCTTTCTTGAAAGTTAGTCTACTCGAGGGTGAGGCCATTTATACTGCTGCCTGCCGCAGGAGCGTTTACGACCTGCGTCTGTCTACACTCCTCTTGGTAAGGTGGTATTCTAGTGGTGCACTGTTTGGGAGGCTTGTCTAGGGTCTTGAGGGTGCGTTTATAACAGCTGGACGTATGGTAGAGGCGCGTTAAACCTTTCGTCGTCCCCCTTGATGCCAATCCTGCCTTTGGAGGCACCACGCTAAGCTTGCCTACACGCCGTTTCGCGACAGTCACCGAACTGCAGGCTACACATGGCGACTGTTTAGTTGCCACGGACCACCCCACGGGATAAATCCGCGCAACACACCGTTCATTCTTCCCGTAACCTTGCTGTGTTCAGGTGACTACCGGAGGTATGCCATCCCAGATGACGTTATCGCCATCCCTCTCGCATGTGGTGGACGCCGGCGGGTCGTGCCTGTACGTGTGGCACGGGAATGGGTCCAACAGAGATGGCCGAAGGTAATTTTGATCTAGTTTATGGTAATGCGTAGGGTGCGCATGTAACAGGGGCACACCCATAGCTCATCAAACTCCAACCGTTTGAAGTGTATCCATGTCCTTGAATATGTTTAGGGAGGGCGTTTGGCGCACGTCTCATCGACGGCCTACCGTGAGAGCAATATTGCCGTTTCGAATCATGCAAACATCCTAAAGAACATGATAGTACTTCCTTGCCTTGGCAGTTTCTCCGTGAGATTTGCCCGCCCTCATGAGCCCTAGATGCCCTCCGATGGCCAACATATGAGTGTGTTGTTGCTGTTGTGGCGGGCGTGATCGGTTCGTGCAGCCTTGCTGTTCGCGTGGCTCGTGCCTATGCAGCGCGAGTGGAAGGAGGGGCCTCGGTAGAACAGGTGGACGCAGGGTCGGAGCCCGTCGGACTCCTCAACTGTTTCATAGGTGAGATGATATCTTGTGAACACATCTGGTTTCGCTGTAGCTGGTACGGAAAATGGGACGAAGCATCGAAAATAAATGTACATGTAACGTGGGTCGGTGGCAAATTAGTTTCCATTGAATCTTGACGACACTTTTCGGCGTAAATAACGTTTTTATGAACCGAGCCCATGCCTCTTCTTCAGGGCTTCAGGGAGGGGCCGACGTGTAAGCCTAGTTGTCATTCCTGCCAACATTGATGTCTCACTTTCTGTCGTCTACCTCTGCTGTCTGTCGTGTGATCCCTCATCCCTGAAGGCTGGAACCAGGCACTGGTTGAGCCCCCTCCCATGCCTCCCCTATCACCGGGACGGACAATGTCTCAGCCGGGAAGCAGCGCCGATCTGTCTCCCTTATCTCCCCTTACGACGCCCACGACAACGGCATCTGACGCCGCGTCGTGGCCCGCCGAAGGCAATCGGTCAGCGCCGACCGGGTGCCGGACATCCAGCGGCCGCGGGGCGTCTTCAAGCAGCGCGTCCTCGGGGTTGAGGCTCACGCCCCCCGGCCAGCGCACTCCTCCCGGGACCCCGAGTTCTCCGCCATCGCTGAAGTGCATGGCCGGCCGGGTGCATCCGCCGCCGCCTCCCCGTCGTTGCGCCACTGCTGCCGTCGGAGGCGTTACTTCCAACTCGGAGGCGTTTTCGACTCCTCCGAGGGACCGTGGGTCGATGACATGCCTTCCGATACCGGGGTGTAACGGGGGTTCCTTTTCACCTATTTCTGTGTTGGGCTTGGCGTCGGGGGTCGACGGGCTCACGGTCGATGTATCATCAAATTGCCTCCCGAATGGATCATTCGGAGCTTCTTCACCGGTGCTTGACTGCGCCGCTAGCGCGCCAGACGGCCCTAGCGATGTTTGGTCAAGCTCCGACGCCCTTCGCTCTCCTCCGCGACCTAATTCTTGTGCTCCTGGCGGACGCGCGTTCTCCGGAGAACGGGACCAGGCTGGTAGCTGCGCAGCAGGAGCTTCAACGGGCAAACTTCCGAGGAATGCCGGGCACCACCAGTGTGTTGATGGACAAAGCGAGAGCGCTCCTGGCAACGGCAAGAGCCAGCGCGAATGCCCCGCCAATAGCGGGCGTGATGAGGACCAAACCATGGATGGAGGCAAAGGAGGCTCTGGACGGGATGGGGATGGCGAGGATCCTAGCGGACGAGAGAGCAGCGAGGGCGGCGGTGGCGGTAGTGGCGACGGTGGAGATGGTCGCGGTTCCGACGGCAGCGGGAGCGGCACCCAAGACGGTAAGGGGAACAAGAATGCCGAAGATGTCGATGACGGCGAAGCCGAGGAATGCGATTCGCAAGAGGAGACAGATACCTTCTTGCGTCTGTCGGATGTGGAGTTCTGCGAAGGGGTCGGCACTCTCGAAAGCGGAGGAGCAAGTTCCGAGCTGTCGGTGACAAGCAACGAGGCGTTCGGAACATCGACTGGCGGCGGAAGGAGCGGCGGGGGAGTCGAAAACGGCACCGTCCTGTCTCGACACCTCAGCGACTTCTTCCGGTCCCCGCTGTCGCTAGACTCGCCACCAGTCCAACGCTTTTCTTCGATACGGTCGCTGTCTGACGTGCAGACCGGAGCTCGGCTCTTCAACAGCGTGAGGAGCGTTCGTTCGGAGGACGATAAGCCATCCAGGAAGAGCGGTAGCGGCAAGCTCTCCGACAGCGTCAGCTGTGTCCGTGCCTCCGGCGCTACAACCGGCGACACTGCCGATGATATCTCCACAGGTCTTGGCGTCGGAGTCATAGTCGATGGCGAAGAAAGCCCACGATGTTCTCCTCCGTCGGCCGTATCCGATTCCGCCGCCAGCCTCCTGGATCCTCTTTCCCCGCACGGAGGCGCTACCAACGACCACTCCACGCCGCCGCCGATTCCCGCCAACGGGACCGAAGACGTGCTGGTCAAGGAGAACGTCGACACGTTCCCGAAGACTGCGGTGGACCCCGTGCTCGAGGAACATCTTTTTGTCTCTGACGCAGTCGCAACCTTCAAGCCCCTCGAAACGATCGAGAGGGAGCAGGAGCGCGCCGCCGGCATTGGCGATGAAAGTGGCGGCGGTGGCGGCGGTGGTCGCGAGAGCGAGGAGGAGTGGTTGTCCCACCCGGAGGAGGAGGCCGACACCGCGCCCGCGGGGCCAGGGGATTGGATCGGACGCGCCCTTGAGGCCACCCTTGTGTCCAAGCGGGCAGAGGCTGCACCGCAGTGCGTCGCCACGGGCTGTGTCCAAGCAGACAACCCAGAGACGGCCGCCGCCGTAGCGGAGGGAGAGCGAGGGGGCGAAGAGGACGCGGGAGCCGGCGCCGGCCACGTGTGGGCTGGCCTTAACGACGACGGTTCGTGGCGGACGGAGGTGGCAAGGCGGGCAGCGGGGGAGGCCGGGGCGGTGGAGGCGGAGCGCCGCCGCTTGGCGAAGGTCAAGGCGGACGAGTCGTGGAGGTCGGATGCTGCCGGCGAGGGCCACGGCGCGCCTCGACGGGACAGCGTTAGCTTCACCCAGCTTCAAACTGGCAACGTCAGGTGGGGCTTGAAATATCCGTGGAAGCAGAATCAAGCAGAGTCTGAACGCCTGATAAAAACGCGTGTGTGTGCGACATACATCCAGGTTTTTTTAAGAACATCATCGTGGTCTAATGATAGTCGATGTCCTCCCTTGCGAAGCCATCCAACGGCTAGGTTGAGGGTTCGAATTCCGGCGAAGTGTATTTTTTTCATGTACAATCGTACCTCGCACCTCTTGTCTGCAATCCGCCGCTATCGTCTGTTTCACATGATGTTCTCCAGGGACAAGCTGAACGTGTTCGAAGGGGCTTCCGGTTCCAAGGTCGGCAAGGAGAAACCTGGAAACCGGTCGAGTGTCGGTGCCCTTCACGGCAGGGGGCTGGTCACCGCCTGGGCGAAGGTAAGTTGTGGCAAGCACTATTGTCCTGGAATCACAGTCAGTAGGCGCTTCCGCAGTTTTGGAGGCAGGTTGGCTTCCACGCTTCTGGGTGCGTCGGCACAGACTAACTGCCGTGTCGTTTTACCCTTTCTTCCGCGCAAGGATTTGAGGTGTCGGATGTTGCCCATTCAGCAAGGTGCGGCTCGTCGCCGGCCGGCATCGGTTACGTTTCCCGAGGCAACCATAACATTTTTCCAAATAGAAGCGATTGATGCATCTGTTTTCTACCCAATTCACATCATCTACGCGGAGTGCGCGACGAAGATGACGGTCAAGGAAGTCCTCACGGTAAAGAACTTTCCGCGAGGATCTCGGTCGTCAACCGTCGACGACAACGAGGCTCCCCAGCCGTTCGCTTCCGTGCCTCTCTCCTTTAATCTTTTTTCTCTATCTTCAGCACATGTTCATTACTTGGTCGTACTGGTGTAACACTTTATCGACAACGAATCGAAAACGAGCGCTATGGTTCTCGAAGAGTGCTGCGTCGTCTGATTTCCTTCCGATGGGAGCGTGTACCTCTCAGCAAAGTTTAACCTGTCCTCCCTTTACGTGCTCCCCATCGCTCCCCCAGAAAACCACGGATCACCACCCCGCCTCCACCGCGATCAACGAACAAGACAGCAGCGGGTGGTCCCCGCCTCCTCCTTGGTCTACCGGAGGCCGGACACGCTCGCCGCCGCCCCGCGCCGGCGACTCGGACGAGCAGGAGGAGTTTACGTGGAAGGCCGGACCGTCACCTTGCCGGCTGAAGGGGAGGCCAAGCCTAGGCCTTATCCGCAACGGGCAGGTTCGGATCATGTCCAAGGCATTGCTGATGTCTTGTCCGGAGGGTAGGCGCGAGGTGAGTGGTTGTCGCGGACGGTATGAGGGTGGGGCGGTGTTTTCGAGCCTGCCGTGCGGGTCTGGAAAGCGGGCCTCGCTTTTTGTTTGAGTGCACCTGCGCTCGCTGGCTGAGCACGACGTGTGCATCCGGCTGAAGATCCCGACATTTGTTGAGAGACAAGTCCCTGGTGGAGTGAGGACAATATCAGTTGCAACTTTTCCCGTGTTGCCTACAGATGACAAACGTTCGTAGTAACCTCCCACCAACTCCCACCTTTTCCCGTTTCTCGCTGTCTCTCGTCCTGGCATATCCCGCTACCCCGCATAGACCAACACCAATCACGGAGGTAGTTGCTTGGGCGGGAGCCTTGACGAGCCACCGATGCCATCAACCCCGCCACCTCCGCTGCCAGCCTCAATCGCCACACCGCCCCCGCTTCCCGCGCGCACAAGCTTGGTTGGTGCTAGCGCCAAGCCCCTCCCGGCACGACCAATCCGTGGCAGCGGCAACAACAGCAGCAGCAGCAGTGCCTTGCAACGTCCGGCAGCGACCAAGGGAAACATCTGGTTGGCGAAAGCCGGGTTGACTCGCAAGAATGTTGCAGGGTCGTCGTCCCCCGCGCCTGCACCGACGGAGACGCCACCTTGCGAAAGTAGTTCGTGGCGGCAGGGGGGGGGAACGCCCACACACCTTGCTGGCGGTCGTGCGGACGGCGGGATGGCTGCGGCGAGGGCCAAGGGCGCGAGCGGGGCTTGGGCCAAGCTGCATCGCAGGTGCGGTTGTAGGGGCCGGAGCGCTCCGCTTTGTAACGTGTGGCGCGCAGTGAGGGCAACGGTGCCGTTGACTCTCGTTTTGACGCCTGTCGTGCGATCCTATGCTTTCGACTCGTGGATGTTGTCTTTCGTTAACCCTCAGCACTAGTGAGTGCCCTATGCCTGACAGCCTAGGGGCTGGTTCTGGAAAGCCTGCTGCTGTGTAAAACGGTCAACCATTTGTATTGAAAAAAGTAGATGGGTGAAAATTGTAACGATCGCAGGTTGCTCGGAGCCCTGTTCGCCAATGTGCTTCCCTCTTTATTTTTGGCCTCCCGGCCGGATCGCTGCAGGCTCGAGGAGGAAAGCAAGAACTTTAACGGGACAAGGCGCGCCGAGGTCGTGCCTCCCGTGGTCACCAGCGGGTGATAAATTCTGCTGGACGGCCTCTTGATGCGGGGTGCGGTGAGACGAATGCCGCTAGCAATAGGTAGCAAGCAGCCAGACCTCGAGCAGTGTGGCACTCACAAGCCGAGCTAGAGAGGAGCTATCACATACGTCACCGGTGGCGGGAACAAGCTCAATGTATTCAATAACACGGGGATGGAGGTGGAGCTGACGAGCATCTTGTGTGGGGGGTGCCTACCCGTCAGGGTGCGCAAGGTTTCATCCAACCCCGTACTCGACGGAGCAACGTTCATGTTTTGTAGTGTTCCTGACCGAGGCTGCTCGTGAGCCTACACTTGGGGGCAAGTAACGTGCGAGTTTTCGTCTTGTATGGGGATGGTCGCAAGCATATACACCAAATTGCACAAACTAGTGCATGTTGATACAAGGATTTTTCACACCAGTTTGCCGTAAGCGTAATTGTTTAGAACGATCGTGTAAGCGAGCAAGAAGGAAGGAAGTCATGTGGCCTTGTGCTTTTTTTGCTTGCTGCGTGGTTTTCGCGTGTGTGACTCATGGTACGTTATGGAGGAGATAGTCCCGAGGGATTGAAGAGGAATGGAAATACGACAATGCATTGGGGGTGATGTCGAGCAACAAGGGGCGGTACGTCGATCCTTGGTGCGGGGCGAAAAAACAATGTTCACATGTTTTTGCTTGGCCGTTCTCGTCGTGATCAATTCGAAGGGCGGGGTGTTGTTTCGATGTAATCGTTTTTCATTGTCGCTGTCGCTATCGCTGTCAAATTGTTGTTGTCGTCGTTGTCGCTGTTGATGTGGTGTTGATGTTAAAAGTAGCTGTGACTTCTTCCACCTCGTACGCAATCTTCGGTACTACGATAGTCCAGCTGGTGTAAGAACACCGCACTTTCTTCTCTCGAGAACACAAGTTAGCCCTGTGTGTTGTATTTGACTTGCAGGGAAAACCCTTCCCACCTCCAGGGTGTGGCATGAGGTTAGCCTGGTCAGCAAGCAGTATATATCCCGACAATGATCTTCTTTCGCGCTCCGCAGGGATGGGAGGAATACTTTTTCAGGATAGTTTTGTTGGTAATGGCTCGTTTTGCTGACTTACCCACCGCGTGGAGAAACGGCCTCTATTTTATTTTTGGCTTTTCTTTGTCCCATAGCAGTAGTTTGATTTGATTTTTTTCTGAACCTGTTGGGAAGTCTGTCGTTGCAAGTGGTGGCACTGGATGTTTTTGTGTGTTGTTGTCGAAGTGTTTGAGTTTCTTTTTTGGAGTTGGCTTGGGACCACGAAAATTCGTTTCATCGCCTCGGTCGAAGAGCAAAAAAGGAGGTGTAGGAGTCTTGATAGAGGTCAAGACATTTTTACGTTGAAGACACGAAGTATCAACAACACCTCCGAGCGCGTCACTGTATAGTTCACTGTGTCCCGTTGTCATGTGAACCCCGGGTATTTACATCTTCTAGCGTCGCTGATACAAAGAACGAGGTTTCTCTACCAGGAAAAAGCCAAAGCTACTTTGCGAGCACGGATTGCTGACCGCAGTTGAAACCGTAGTATCCTGTGAAACATTCACATAGGCCTGTTGCGTAGTCGCACGTCCCTCGATTTGAGCAGTCCACGTGGCAGAGGTTGCCCGCACGGCCCTGTTGTTCCACGAGCAACACATGCAAGAGATGTTTCAATAGTCGCTTTCGACTCACCCACGATCGCATTAGTCTATCGTTGGTTAACCGAAGGCGTTGGCACATGAGTGGAGCACCGGAGTTGTTGTGTTCATGTATGGGCAATCATTCGGTGGACCAACTACCCCTGACAACCGCCGAGCACCACGTGTGCCCTGACGCCCTGCTCCCCATTTACGACGAATGACGACCATATCATCTGCAGCACTAATCGAGCCATCATCTTCCCCCCTCCCCGCGGTCACCGAAGCTGGTCGATCAAGATATATAATGTGAGTCTAGGCTCACCGCGGTGCCTGGGTAGACCGACGAAGACGTAACGTTGAAACAGTCCGTCTCATCCACATCAGTGGACGGATCGTCACCGCTAGGGCAATGCCTCAAAGAGCAGTCGGGCCCAAACCACTCAGGCTCTTGCGTTTGCCCCGCACCAAGCCCGACCTCCCACTTTGAATCGCACACGCACCCGAAGATCATTTCTTCATCCCATGTGACCGTGTCGTCTTCTCCTGCACGTTTTGGGGGATGAATAGATTGAAACAAGAGTGGCGGCAAGCCTACGTGCGTCCTTCGAATACAAACAGAGCTTGTAACGGGCGGGTGAGCTTCGAACAAAATCTCGACAACCGCGGAGTACGCAAAGCTAGCATCGTCCGCTGCCGACGCTGTATAATAATAGGTCTCTACCTTTCATTGGTGCCTGCCTAAAACACTTCTACATAACCGAGGGAGTGATCATCTTAGTATTGCCTTGCCTGAATATGTAGTCACGTTGGAGAGGGGGAGTGCATCTGAAGTCACCGCTAAGGCTTTCATGTTGACGCAACGGCCGTGGTCTGAACAATCGTCCGGGCAGCCAGATCGCTCGCAGGCTGCACCAGTAAATCCGTCAAAACATTCGCATTCTCCACTGTCTCGATCACAAAGCCCTCTGCATGGGGTGCGGGGTGATCCCCAAACGAGGGGTGAAGTTGAAACGTGATTCGGTGGGTGCGCTTGTGAACGTGAGTGAATACACCCCAGGAATACAAATCACTATTGTTGTGTTTCTGTCGAATCGCTTCATTCTTTTTCGGTATCTAGGCCACGCGTTGGGGAAAGGCACACACACGGAACGTACATCATCTCACCAGTCACATTGGCTGCGAGGCGCGGTGTTAACTGTTACGAACCCGTCTATCTCCCCACTCCCTATTCCAAGGGCATCCATTCATTTCCAAGTTCAACATGATGTGTTTATCGCGACCAATGAGGCGTTCCATGAATGAATGAATGCCGGTGGATCGTCCCGCAATACAATGTGTGCTGTAAGGATGCATCGGGCGGAAAATGCCGCGTCGTTGATCGGGTGCGTACACGAAAACGTCGGTTTTGGCTACAAATGCCCACCTGCCGGAACATTCCTGCTCCTGGTGTGCGCTCAAAGGTCCTGTTGGTACGTCTCCCCACGCCTTGCCGGCAGGGCATACTCGCGCAGAACAATCCGCAGCACGGTAAAGGGTAAGGTCGGTGTCTGCCCCCCAGCCCTCATAACACGTGCACCTGGGAAAAAAGCCATCGAAGTTTCACATAAGCGGGACCAAACTCCTGCAGCTACTGCACTACTTAGCTGTACTGCTGGTGTAGTCGAGAATATCCGTCCAGATCGGTGTGCTTGGAAGCGGATGCATGTCATTTGTCGCCGACAGGTGAGAAAGGATTCAGCAAAATCCAGACCAAAGCCGTTGGCCTCACTTTATAGGATAACGCAGCTAAATGCACCCACCTAGATTACTGTGGTACTAAGTGTGCATGTAGACTTGTACAGCAGCCATAGTCTTCATCTGTGTATGCTACGGATCACACAGCAGTGATCTTCAATACGACGACAGGTCGGCGACAAGTTGTTGCAGATACACAGTAGACCGCGCACGCGGGACACCACCATTGCATGACCCCCATACATACCTATTGGGAGAACAGCTCGTGAAACACCACATACCTGCTGCACGCACTTACGTTCTGGTGCCTGTGTTGCATGTGCCATGCCCGTTGCACCAGTTGAAGAGTGAGCACCCGGCGTTGCCTTGCACGGTGGTGAAGATCCACGAGGACACCAAGACCAAGAAGAACTTCGCCAGCGTCATACTCTTGCTCAGTGAAGCCACTTCTTTCGAAAACCCGTGGCATATGCTCAGATCGGCGATATCAGTCGTGGCTTGGACAACAGGGTTGTGTGGGCAAGATCCATTGGAGGGGTTGTTGATGAGTTGGTGGCCAATTGTGTCGGTTTGTCGAAAGTATGACGGTTTCATGTTGAAAAATATGTTGACGGACGCTCAAAACAGCTCATTCTCGCAGAAGAGGTCCGAAACGTAGTGTAGTCAAGGACATCAGACTGGAAATTGACCGAGAGTCGATAGGGCCCTATTGAAAAGGACGCCTGCGCACTTGATTGACAACGCGTGTGCATCCATTGTCCGTTGTTGCTGGGAACCGTCCGTCAATGGGCAGACTTCTATAGTCTACTGTTGTAGCTTTCACACGACGTATCGAAGCATGCTGTCACGACCCTTTTCCCCCAAACCAGTCAATATTTGTCAACACATGCGCTGCGAATCTGGTGCTTACCAATACCGTGCGAAGGTCACGTAAGACTGGATTTCAAAGCTCCAGTGCCCCACAGGATGTCAAAATCAAAGGATACCTTCGGCTCAACCCCCCGACGAGACGGTTCTAACGCTGCCGTTGTCGGCTCCGAGACAGTTCTAACGCCGGCATTGTCAGCACCTTCACTGCATTGAGTTTTTAATATAATACAGTTCCAGGTGTGCGTGGCATCCTATGCGACCTGTGGTGCGACGGACGGTTCTTGCACATTTCGGTAGATTATGCTGGGAATCGTAGGCCCAACGTAAGACGTGCCGTAGATGTGCGTATGTTTCTGAGCACATCGCTCATATTGTCCTCCCGATGTGCCGTTCGACTGTGGTTGAGGTGTTTCTTTCTGTGTTTCATACTCAAGTGCGTTATTCTTTTTCGTGCTGACCCGTGCTGCTGTTGAGGGAACAGGAAGGTGGTAAGAGTGACTAGTCACCAAGCAAGGAGCGGATCCGTTTTAAGCAGGTTGGCAATCACAGCAGTTGTTGCGAGAGCGACACATGTAAACGAAAAGAAAAAGCTGTTTCCATTTGGCTCTCTCTACGCGGTTTCATTCCATCAGACCTTCTCCTATCTGGCGGCAACGGAGCGGGGGATGGTAACAGGACCTACACGTACTTTGGACCCCCACGCGTATTAAACTGAGGGCAAACTAAACCCGATTCGTCTCTGTTCAATGCCTTCCGGGTGTCAGTGCCAGCAACGTAACTATATGTACTCCGTCCGGAGTAGGAACTTTCGTACGCAAAACCGGTGACCACTGACGATCGGTACCGTTGCACGGCAAAGCGCAGGTCATTGGTCATCGTAAAAACTGTGCACCTTCCTCGTGCAGACATAATCTACCGTCCACCATAACTATTGTAGTTGTTCTGCCCATCTGGACTCCCCTAACATGCTGCTTTCGCTTTTGTTGGTTCCTGGTCGTTTCTTTTGACGGGAATACATCAACGATCGGCTGCTGCTACTGCTAGCCGCGCTTATCATCCGCCGCGCGGTGTTATGGGTCGGTGCAGCGGCCCTTACCCCGCCTACCGCCCGCGAATGCAATGCCGGCGCTTCGGGCGTTGTCGCGTCAGTCGTTCCTCGGGCGGGCGATGACGCCACGAGCAAGTTTAGTTCTTCCTCTGCTTGGACGGGAGGGGCGGAAGGTGAAACGTTTGTTTTTCGGGCGAGGAGAGCAAGCGCTAGGAAGCGGAAAGCACATTGGGCTTCCATGATGAAAGTGTTCCCTCACACCAACGTCGCAGATACCCTCTCACCAGGTACCGGGGATATCTTACCTTTGGCTTTTACCGCGGCTTCCTGTCGATCAAGAGATTGGAGCTTCGCCTCTGCACGTCGCCGCAAAAACTCGACATCCGTTGATCCAGACCCCACGCTATCACAATCGTCAGAAAACTCTTCGTCGCCAATAGAGATACTGTCACGATCGACGCCCTCGCGGCGTGCACGTCGCCGCGACTGCCGACGGCGATGGTGCACGCTACCCGCCTCTCCGTACGCCGGCCGTTCAGGAGAGGTCGCTCCCGTTCCAGGTCTACCGGGACCTGTGAGCATCGCCCTCCCCGGCGAGACAAGAACGCCCCCGATCCCCGCCAAAGGGCGTCCTCGCCGCTTGCTTCGCCCGTTCACGGCGGCAGAGTACACCGGTGGAAGGAAAGATGGCGAGTCGCTGCCGTCGCTGCCACGACTAGCCCATCGCCGCTCTTTGCTGGTGTTGCCGCTTGCCTTGCCGTTCAAAACTGGAAGGTTGAGGAACGGGACGAAGGCGCGGGGAGGTCGCCCAACTGGGGCCCACTCTGCACCTGGTGCAGCCCCTGGCCCTCGGTGCTCCCCACCCTCGTTGCCGCGACTCCCAGTCCTACCGGTACTGCGCCGTCGCCCGGACGCTTTCTCGACGTCATCACCAGCGGCACCGCTGCCACCTCCTCGAAGAGAGTCGATTCCGAGGGCGAAGGACAGGTCAGCGGAGGCTATCCTGGATGTCCCAACAAGTGGCATTGGGACGCCACCACCACCGCCTCCGCCACCCACCCCGCCTTCTGCAGCGGGTGTCTCCAGCCTCTGTCTCACCGATCCGTCCGGAAATACGTACCGACTCTCGGCCCGAATACCCCCTGGGGAGACTGCGCCGTAGTCCAACGGTCGGCCTTTGCTGTCACGTCCGTCACGACCGCTTGAGGCTGCACCACTGCTCCACGCCAGAGCACCCGGCACTTGCTCTCGGAATGTGGAATCACCGCCTAAGTCATCTACGACGTTTTGTTCACCCCAACAAGTTACGCGTGTTACATGTCAGATGAGGAGAGCCAACGTTGGACTTAGAAATATGCTTCGAAGCTTGTTGCTGAGCGCTTGGGTGAGAGTAGTGGTAGTATTGGCTTGCGATAGATACCACATGAGATTGGATGAGCTACCAACCGCTTTCAGGAGAGAGTTCCATGTGGTATTCGCCTACAGTGGCTGCGTCGACAGGGTGAGCGGTATGATCTCTACAACCAATACCAATCGCAAAGATGTGAGTGTATGGAGTCGTCAGAGGGACAAATGCTCCGTGTGACTGGCAATTATGAATTCTCAGCCAGCTTTTCTGCGCAAAGCGAACTGCCCTGACCGTAAGTACCATTTCGAAGTCTGTCAGTGTCACACCCTCCCCCAGGTGCTCGATTGCCATCACCCAGTCTTCGCAGCCCAGCCAGCAATAGACGATCTTCCGCGGTTTCATCCATGTCTAGCTTTCGGTTCGCCACGCACGCATTCTTGGCCGCACGAGTGCTCTGAGAACGGGGAGCCATGAGAAACGAGGCACGTAGATAAGTTATCGGTATAGTACGCCTACTTTTATCGAATGCTCGAGTGAAAGGCACTTCGAGGAATCAGGTCCCATAACAGCCGTACAAGGGAATCAATTTCTAAACACCTTATCATGCTGCATCGAGGTATTTATTCGACGGCAAGAGGATCACCGGAAGACAAGGCATTCGAAGTGGACCGCCTGACAGGTACAATGTTATTAAACTGCAAGTACCTAGGGTCGGGACGTTGTCCTACCTCGGCCCGCCTCCGATCGCTGGGGCTTGGTGTACGCCCTTCACCCTCAACACCCTCCACGGCGGGAGGTGGCGGCACCCTCCACAACTCGTTGCCTTCGGCCGCACCTCCCGCGATTCCGAGTTCCTTGGCTGGTGGGTGCTTGGATGCCCGACGTTCGTACGCCGCTCTTAGGGCTGCCGCCTCCGACTCTTTCGCGACCCTTGCGATATCAATAAGCTATGGATTCCGAGAGGCATGGACGTGGTTTGGTGGAACGTGACGGGGTCTGGAAAACGTTCAACAGGATGTCAGGATCTGCCAGGAGAAATACCACTTTTGCTATTGCCAGGAGCGGTGATGGGTTGCGTTTCAATTTAGGGATTTGTGACAAGTAGTGGAACGCACCTTCCTTTTTTCGGCCTCTTGCTGGCCGACTTCGTGTCTCAACACCTCTGTCAGCTGCTTCTGTTTCCATAGCTCGGTGCGAAGTTTCTCGATGGATACCCCCTCCCTTGGGGTAGCGAGGCCCCGTGAAGATGCCGGAGGTTGGTGAGGAGATGGGCCATCTCTGGGCGTCGTCGTTCGTTGAGGACGGGGTGAAATTGAGAAGAGCATCCACGACATGCGGCCCAGGAAAATACGCGAGGGGGAACTTGCGCCATCGCTGAGGACACATACTACTGGAGGCTTGTACAATAGATAGAATGCCTACCAGAGGTAGAACAATGTTCGTGATACACAGCTACAGCAGCGTACCTTTGGACGGGGCCCTTCGTTTTAATTTTGCTGGGTTCCGCCATTTGTTCGCCGTTGTCTGTTTGCGCTTCAATGGACGGTGTCTGTGAGAGCAAACAAAAGGTCGTGTCGTTGATTGGTTGCACCGTGACACAAACGATTACTCGGCTAGATCTCACAGCGGTGTTGTCGGTGATGTGAAAGACTACGACCCCCACCGCTTGACCACTCACCTCCTCCGGTACATTCGGAGGATATGCAAGGGGGGCGTGAAGGAAGGGGTGGAAGGAAGGGAGAGGCTGGTGCTGAGGAAGGAGGTGGGTAGTGTGGAACGATTGGAGGTATTGGGGGGAAGTTTCGAGAAGACCAGGAGCAACAAGCGTGAAACGGCCTGACGGACTCTACGAACAAGATAAACAAGCGATGCCAGGCGATAGAACGATGACGCCAAGTCATCATGATGCGGCCCCGTTTAATGGGAGTGGACATACTCTATCTTGTTGACGAAGGGGACGCATGGGAGCTCCCGAGAAGAGTACGGGGGAATGACGGTGTGTGATAGATCAACGCTTGAAGCTAAACACGAGAATTCCCAAAGTAGAACATGGATGTAGGGCCACGAGTGCCCTGAGTGTTCCAGGTGTCCAACGGGACCGTGCTACGTCTCGAATTGGACGTGTGGTAGACGGGTACATGCTTACAGAGGAGAGACAATCAAACACGTTTGCATCCCTATGCGGAGGCATCAAAGTTCGTTGAATTTCCCGCGGCGGTTGCAAGCGAGCAGGCAGCTCGCTCTCAAGATCTGGTATCACTACTTACCCCACGCTCCCGCCCGGGAAGAAGATGCGGCATCATAACAGAACCCTCGTGTCTCTTCTCGTTGACCTCGAGCTCACGCGGTGAATTGATCGGCCTCGGGGAACGGGTGCCTCCCCCCTTTTTCGTAGGAAACTCAGACACCGGCAAATCGGCCAGGTTGGAGGACGCCTGGACGAGGGGCTCTTCAGCGGCCCGCTCCCTGGCGTACCTGGACGAGTAGTTCAACATTTCCGCCATGAGTGTCGTGACTAATAAATCGCGCACGCTTGCCAGGTTGTTGATGCGGCTGAACTCGAACGGCTATATTTTGATGTCCCACCATCCAGTCCACTCTCACTGTATCGCTTACTTTCGTTCGAGTTCCTTTTGCTCCCTCTCCACCCTTGCATCCTCCCGCTTCTCCTCTTCCCTGTGGCGGAAATGATACGAAACTACAATGTTGCAAGCATTGCCACATGGTCTTGTGTTGTACCGCCCTAACGCTAGAAAGTTGCTCGGTGGAGACCGAGGAGAATGAAGCCAAAGGACATACGACAGAGGAAAGCGCGTCTTCGAATGCACCCGCTGTCGCTTACTCGCCATTTTGCGGTTCGACACAAATCTGAGGCTCCTTTGGGTTCCAAAACCTAAAGAGACAACGACCGGCTGGTGGACCGCGATCGACTTTTGTGACAAAACGGTACCTGTAGCATGTGCAAACATGAATGAACGCCCTATTTGCTGTGATAGGACATCCGCGACGACATATGCTACAACACGTCGCTCACGCAACAGCATAATCATCTTAGCGCGTCAATGGTGTCTTGACGTTGTTTGGTAGTCGTACCTGGAGTCCGCCGCTGCCTTTTCCTTGCGAGCCGCGTGAGCTAGTCTCGCCTCTTCCGCCTCCTTTAACAGCTTTTCCGCCTCGAGTGCTTTCGCAAGCTTGCCTTCCTGCTCGTACCTGATGCGATATACAAGCAAGTTCGTACCGTGATACAGAATTGGATGCAATGCTTTCTCAACACCCAAGGTGTCGTGCGGACTGGGGAAACCGAGGACAACACAAAGACGGGGCCTTTCTTTTAAAAATATCCATCACATCAATTTTTTTTCGGAGAGCCAAACGAATCAAAGGCATCCCAAAGCGGAATGTTTTCCGCACGAAGAACGTTTTCTCCAGGCCTTCCAGCTTCAGGAAACATGTCACCACTGAAGTTTACTTTGGTAAATGACGTTTGTTTTGTTGCCATACCGTTATTTACAAAAGTTGCATTCGGCAACCGATGGGTCTTGTGTGGCTGCGGGTAGGGTAGGAGAACGTGTCACCTCTCATGAAGCTGCTCTCGTTCCTTTTGAAGCCTGAGTTCCTCCTTTCGTTCATGCAACTCCAGTTGGGCCTTCTGGATGTCCCGCCGGACCTTTCGGTACAGTGAGTATGGTCTCGAAGATATGTCAATGCCGCCTGACTATTGTTGTTACCACCGCAACAGGGGGTGCATGCAGCCGCCTAGCCAGAAATCTCCGTGGAGTGATGCAACTATACGTCCAACGGTACTGTCGCTGGCAAAGACATCACCAAGGACCCTTTAGTTTAGTACACCACTACATAGTCTTCTAGCTGCAAGCTCAACGAGGAGTGGACATTGCATCACCCATTGCATGTCTCAACGGCGAAATCACATTGCACCAATCCTCATCGACAATAATAGTGGATGATTCACGTGTACCTTAACGTGCATCAACCAACCTTGTTGTCTTCGACTTGTTTCTTGAGAGCTTCAGCCTGCACCCTGCTTTTCTCCCTGTCCCTCTCGGCGCGCGTCTCTATGCCTAGAAGCTCCCTCAACCCGCTACCCCGCCTTGATGGAGCACCAACACCTGCACCGCCCTCGGATGGCGGCAGTAGCGATGACGATGTCCCATCGTGTCCGCTACCGAAAAGGTCGCTGTTTGTTTGTGGGACCGATTCCCCAACGGGCGTGCTCGATAGGCCTATCGCAGACGATGCAGCGAGCCCTCTGTTAACCGTGGCAGCGGGTGCGACGGCCCGCATCTTTGCAGGAGATCTCTGCCCCCGGCCGGTTGTAGAGTAGTTGTCTTTAATCACTGGTACGCCAAGGGGGCCTATTTCGTAACCGGGCGCCATTTTCTTCGGGTTTTCAGGGGCGAGAAACGTTCAAGTGGGGATGGAAGGGAAGGTTGGGTCGTGGTGTTCACACGAAGAAGACGGTAGAGAACGGCCAACAAGCACGAGGAAATATGGGCCGGTTCGATCACCTATTTGAGGTGGCTGGTGGTTGGCCATTGCATTCTACATGCAACAAGATCAACGTGTACCTTTGGCTAGACCAAAAGCCGACGTACTTCCAAATGCATATATTGTACATGTACGAACGTCGCGGGGGAAAAGAAAAATCGATCAATCGGTTGGTAGATATTTCTAGACGGCATTTGGTTCTACAGCGGTACGATCGAAGCAAATTTTCCCTTCTGAGTTCTCACGTTTCGTTCGTTTCTCTCTTCCATAGCTTGCTGCAGGTAAAACACCTCGGCCTCCTTAGATCTGTGCATCCCCTGCTTTCGCTGGTTTTGGAGTTTTGTGCGCTCGGCCATCTAGGTTGACCCCACGGTGCCCAGACGTTAGGGCGGGATGCGTACGAACACCAATGGATCAGCACTTATGACAGCAGGTTGCATTACATTTCCGGGGATTTCGGGGGGAAGAGACTGTACCGTGGATCGGCCATGCTCATGATTTGAGCCAAATTCACAGATCGTGAAGCAAATGGCACAAATATTGCGTATCGTGCGGGAGATCGGCAATAATGCAAGGGATATGAAGTTCGTGCGTATTGTCGTTCGAATGGGATGGGGCGAGCAGTAGAGGACAGTCTCTCAAGAAAGCTTTGGGACAGAAAGACGAATCTCAACAGTCAATCAGGAAGGAATTAAAGACTGATGCACAAGGTCAACTACTTTTTGAGATGAAAGTAATCTAATATGCTTCTTAGAATATGCAGATCGTGAAGTACAACGAAAACATGCGATCCAAAACTCATGACTGACACCGTCTTGGACATCACTCTCTCGGCCCGAGAGATACTCTCATGTTCACCTGAGCCTCCAGATCTCTCCGGTAAGACTCCTTCTTTGCTTGTATCTTGGCCAGTTCCACCGGGTCGACAGGATTGTGCATCTTACTGGCCTTCGTGGAACGTACCCCAACCCCACCCCCCACTGCTGGAGCCCCGCTGGGAGGGTCTCTTGGTCCAAAGTACCAATGATCCTGCTGTTCACGATGGTCCCTAATCGGAACCAGATGTACATCTCTGTTGTACCCGTGCCTCACAGAGGGGTGAGTGGTCTCCCAGCTCTCCTGCCTGGCATTCTTGCCTCCAAACTCCGGCAATATGCTACGATGAATGGGGTACCCGCTTCCTGTTGCTGGATAGGATTCACTCGTGCCCCAACGTTCCCCCCGTCGTTCTCCATCATCCGCGAATTCTCTCCGAGGGGGAGGAAGCCCGGAGGTGGAAATCCCCTCAGCGACCCACGTCGCATTCCCCCGTCTTCCCGTAGGGTATTCTAGCTCGTCATAGCCGCCACGGCTCGGGTAACCCTTCGGGTTGCTACCGTAGGCATCGTAGTTGGTTCCGGGGACAGGAGGTTGTCGACTATGTTGGTGCTCTCCCACTTCGTACCGTCCTTGGCTTTGAGCCCGAAATGACGGCCAAGCGCCGTATGGAGTTGCGTGTTCTCGCAGGCATTCTCTTTCGAAGGGCTGTTGGCTCCAACCCCGAGCGTGCTCACCCGCTTGCGGTCGCGGGCCGAGCTGGAGATGGCTGGCTTCACGTGGGGCGCCGTCATTCTGCCCGAAGAATTCGGGGTTGTTGTTGGTGTTTCTTGTGCCGCTATTGCTGTTCCTGAGCCGTGTTCTGGAGGGGCTGGTGATGTCCCCAATAGGCCTTTCATCGTTAGGCATTGCCAAATCAACGAGTTCGCATAAAACATCGCTTTATCGGGTGACTTGGGAGCCAAACACGGGAGATGGTGGCATGTGAACTCGATGGCAAAAAAAGCAACACGCCAGCGCGCTTGACGTCATGTGATAGTTGACCCGTAGGTGTCATGGGCGTGGCGTCCAGGTCAAACCACTTCAATGGTCAAAGGTGGGCAAGGAGAGAGCGCGTGCCTATCATGAGCGTGACAATGATGGGTAAACCTGTTTAGCTGGACATTGCAGGGGTAGGTTGCCACAAGATTGTCGTGGGGTACATCAAACAAACGCGATTGACTAATAATGTGTAAATACATCCGAGCACAGAATGAGGCAAGGTTTGGTCGCAGCTCTACCTTCCGAGCGAGTCGACCTTCGGCGCAGCCATGTCTCGTCGCAATGCCTCGGCGTACTCCCTCTGGTGATTTACCCGCTCCTGCCTGTTGATAAAAGTCGAAGGGAGGGCGTGTATATCACTTTCGTTGACATATTTCAACCATCGAAAAGCGATAACTGTATCTTCAACCCACCATCCTTCAGTACTGATGATTTACACGCAGAAAATATGTCGACCCAATAGAAAACTACAGGGGACGTGTTAAGAATGTATCCGCCTATACAGATGCTTCTGTTCTTAGCACCAACTGGCATCACTGATAACTCAGTGCCAGGCTTACACAAACTCAAAACAAGCCCAGTCTCTAGTCGGTTTCAATCCACTTACTGAAAAGTCTTCACCACATCCCTTTCGACTGAGGTTATATCTCGAACGGATAGTCTTTCTGTGAGGTTACGTTTGCTTTCTAAAAATATTCGGCGAGTGATTAAACCAAAGCCAACGAGGAGGAGGGCAGATGTGTTCTCCTCCTCCACTAGTTTGTACAACTAATCTGCATAGTGTCACCTAGCTGTCGCCAAAGGGTTGTTAAACTCCCCTCGCGAAAGAGATATCTTCTCCTCTGTCCTGGGCCTTCCCTGACTGCGGCGGTCGTCAATTTGTGATCGATGCCGCTCGGGTTCTCCGCTTTGATAATCAAACGAGTTGACTCCCCCTAGCAACTGTTGGTGCTCCTGCTGGTAATGTTTCTCATTCCCACCCTGCTCAATAATGTCCTTCGGTGGCTGCACTCTCGCAGCCACAAGACTCTGTTGAGCTTGATTGATACTTTTTTGTGCTGCTATCTGAGCTCGAAGCTGCTCAGCGTACTCCGTGTTGGATCGTCGTCGACACGCTTCCCTTCCTTCCGTAGCGCCCTCGATCCAGCTCGGCCCAGCGTTCGCAGAACGAGAGTTTTCCATCTCCCCTTTCGCGGCCCGCTGTGCGTTCTCCTTCGCAGCCATCTGCTCTCGCAGCTGGTGGGCGTATTCGGCCTTCGCTTGTCTCACCGATTCATTCACCCGTTCGTTCTCACCGCCCCGGAGACCTTCTTCGTGTCCTCCAATGGCAGGGCCGGCAGCGAAGGAAACGATGGAGACGTTACTTTTCCTTTCGGTTTCCATGGCCTTCTTTGTAGCCTCGTCAGAAGCCATCTGCTCCCGCAGCTGGCTCGCATACTCGGCTTTGCGATCAATCGCGGAAGACACCGCAGTTGTGCTGTCTTCCGTTTCTACAGGCTGGGCATGCGGCAAAGTTCGTCCTCGGTGGGCAGGAGTGATAGCAACAACCGGGCCACGGAGGCGCGCGTCATCATTGCCACGCTGGGCAGCCGCCACATCAGCCATCATCTGCTCCCGCACATGCCTCGCGTGGTTTGAGTCAGGACGTGCCACGCCGGCCATGATAGGGTTCGGCTGACGACGAGGAATATTACCTTGCTCAGGTAGACGCAGTGGACCAGGTGATGGCGCACGCTTCGCTTCCTGTGGAGGAAATCTCGCTTGTTCGACTCTCCCGCTGGGCTCGTCGATACCTGATTTCCGTTGGATATTAGCTCCAGGTGATGGAGCACTCGGTAATTCCGTCGGATCGACGTTTTGTTGTTGATCCGACATACTTTGTTGCACGTCACGGATGGTGGAAGCAACGAGGGCGGGCGAGTGCCCTGACATCACAGAAGATTCTTGAGCCTGGTTCCCCTGGAAGCGCACTCTGGGCTCGCCCGTGGTACTTCCCCGCTGGGCAGCGAGGTATTGCCGACGTTTTTCTTCGTATTTCTGTACGCGAGAGAGCATGGCAGGAATTTTTTCGTGTTCTGCTTGATTCTCTACTTTCAGTTGCTGCTGGTTCATCAACCACAAAGACGATGTAATCATCCTCCACAGGCTAAAGCCACGTATTTGAGACACCAGTTTGTTGCATAGAGCACGACAGCAATGGAAATAGAAAATTCTTCCATTCGCGACATCCCTAGCCCTTGACGTGCCACGACACGCTGTCTTTTCCGATATTGGGGGTGACAAACGCACGCTCACGATCACCGTCCTGTCGTTCTTACCGCTTCCCGGGAGCTTTTATCGGCCACCTTCTGGTCCAGCGCTGAGCTTAAGCTAGCACCACCGGCGGCTGGAATAGGCACTGCCGCTCGCAGGGTGGACGAGGTTTCATGTCCGTGTAAACGTGGATGCCCTCCATCATTGCGCGTTGATCCAGCTCGCTGTTGTGAGACGATGTGCAACCGCCAGTTTTTCGCTTGATACGGATGATGATACTACCCTCGTTTTTTCTTCGGGGAAAGATATTGGGTATTACCCGAATGCCACGTTTTATCGTGAGAAAACGTCAAGCTCGTTTGAAGAGCTATGATCTCAGAACCGGGAAAAGTGTCGCAAGTGTTGGCTCACCTCTGCGTTCACCGATCGCTTGCTGGCTGATGCTTCGCGCTCGAAAGCCTGCCTCTCCTGCTCGCGTTCCTGGAATACCTTGTCCGCTGGTCCTTCCTGAGGCCCATGCGGGTTTCGTCGCCTGTTCGACCATTCACATATTTTGTGAGAGGGACAGAAAACACTCGAGTCTGTCGAGGGGCCTACGATCACCCGCCACTTCGTGCGCAGAATATGTTTTGAACAAGGCAACTGCGATTGTTTCGGCTCCCTGCTCTGAAGCAGCAAGATAAAATACCAATCCTCCGGCACATGCTTCGTGAATAAACCAATGTTGAAGCCATGCAGTAGTAAAACATGTTGATCGCGTTGCCCTCCAGAAAGTCGTGGTGGGCTGTTATGCAGACAAGACCCAACCGCGTGATATCCATTATTCAGTGCTGTACAGTAGACATGTATACAAAGTAGTCTACAGCACCTATTCTTGACCTGCACACTAGGCGTCGCAGTACCTTCGCTCTTCGTGGCGCGCCGCGAGTCTGCGATCACGTTCCGAAAGTGCTGCCCCGCTACCGGGGGGAATACCAACAACAGTCATTGCAACTGCCGGTGCATGACCCGGCGCCCATTGCGGCTGTGCAGCGATTTGGAGACCTTCCCGACGTGGAACCCGACAGTACAAACAAGAGCAGAGAGGCACGTCGAGATATTGAAGAGGGGCATAATCGAAACAAAGTAAGAGGGTCTTATGACTGATTAACTCAACATATGTTGAAGGTATAGTGGCTTCCCTCCCCCCTGCCGTAACATTTTGGTGCAAACAACACGGATCTCTTGACACCGACAGCAGCAAAGAGGCATCAGACGACTTTCAAGCGGGGGGGACTGCAGTGTATGTACCAGGGAAGCTGGCACGAGCTATTGGGGATAACCGGCAATCGTTTGATCTCTTACCGAACCGAGCGCGAAAGAACCTTGCACGAATATTGTCGAATCAAATATTTCTACACACACGCACTATTTTGGATATCGAATCATTTGATGCCTGTGGCGGCTTGCCTGATCCAGCCTGGGGTAGTGGCATGAAGATATGGCTCCCGGTCTCGGCTGCAGGTGACATTATCTCGATATGTACCTGACAAAGGGTGGCGGTGCTCAGGCGGGGCCTGTGCCACAGCGGCACTGCCCTGCCCTGTACGTCGCTGTTCTACTCACTACGGGCCGGAGCTGCAGCTGGATCCTCTTCTGTCGGCGAGAGGAGAAGCCAACTCTGGGAGAGCAAAAAAAAAAAAAGGAGCCACCGCCGCCAAAACCATTCGAACTCCGTAATCTCGCCGCATCTGCGAGCTCAGAACTACTGAGCAGTGAGCAGTGAGCAGTGAGCAGTAAGCACAGATCACAACGGCCACAGCCTAGCTTCTGTAGCTCCACGGAGAGCTCACAAAATCGCAGAGAGAAAAACGAGGGTACATGCTAACGGCTGATCATGGCAGATGATAGCCAGGTATCGCAGCAACCTGCTCAACCTCCGGAGGCAAAGACCGAGGCATCCGAGCTGGACTACGTGACACGAAGAGAGATCGGGAGGGAGGCCGTGTGGTCTCTTTCCTCGGCCAAGCCCGGCAACGGCGTTGACCAGCTCAGGGACGACTCAACCAACACCTATTGGCAATCAGGTAGCTGTGCAATTCTCGGGTTGTCACAGCAGAGAAAGTTTGAGTGAAATGTTGAACCGAGGGCGTGTGCATGTTCACAGGCGTTCTCGGAAATAGTCCGCGAGGCTGATTTGGCGCCAAGGGCACGACGGTTGAGTTATGTAATCCGGCATCAACCCGTAAGCGTAGAGGCCAAAGCGGGAGTCGCAGGGCAGAAGTGGGAGTCGCAGGGTAGAAGTGGAAATATGCTTGTACAAACGCTACGCCTGTTGAGTTCTATTTGCTGTGCTTTACCTTTCATGGAGTTGTGTGACTACAGCAGGCTTGCACTCTCTCTCTCTCTCTCTCTCTCTCTCTCTCTCTCTCTCTC